AAGAGAAAAAAAACAAATTGTCAAGAAGTAAACTGTACTAAACTATGAAGAATCAGAGGCCAACTGGCAGAGAAGAGAGAGAGAGAAAGAAACAACAACAGCTAGCCTAGCAACCGTTATCTTAGCCTAGCAACGGCTAGACAAGCCTAAGATATCGAAAATTAAATTTATCACTTAATTTTTAAATTTTAAAAATATATACATTTCATCTTTTATTGTAAGTAATTATATCTATTATTGTAACTATTTTTTAATTTTTTATAAATTTATATATATATATATATATATATATATATATATATATATATATATATATATACAGTGGGTAACAAAAGTATTTAACACATTGGCTTTTCTTACATATCTCAAAAAATAACAGATCAATTTCAACTTATAAGAAATATTTAAACGAACATTGTCGATCAAAACATAGAAGAAAAATTTTAAACCACTGTTTTGAGAAACATTTATTAACAATAAATAAAATAACCCATATGCAAAAGTATTTAACACCAATGCAAATATTATGCTAGAAGAGACGTGTCGTCATGATTCCTACCCATATTGATATGATGCGATATGTCGACTAATGACTTCACTGCACGACACTCAACTGGCTATTAGATAACAGCTCTGAGACACTGCAGCTATTCTGTTGCCACTACGGCAAGAAAATGGTGAAAACAAAAGAATTGTCGAACGACATGTGCAAGAAGGTCATAAAGAATCACAAAGATGGTAAGGGATATAGAAAAATCGCTCAAAATTTGAATTTGCTTGTGAGTACAGTTGGTGTTGTTGTTCAACAATGGAAAAAAATCGATACTACTGAAAACATTCAAAGGAATGGTCGTTCCCGTATCTTAAATGAGGCTAATGAGCGATACATTTCCCGTACTGTGAAGAAAAATCCATTTTCAATTCGTCGAGAAATTCAGAATGATTTGAAAAATGCCGGAATTGAAGTTAGTAAAGATACAATTAAAAGATCACTGAATCGTGCAGGTCTCACTTCAAGATCACCGAGAAAGACTCCATTACTGAAACGCCGACATGTACAAGCCCGTTTGAATTTTGTAAAGAAATATGAAATTGAATCTAATGATTTCTGTGACAAAGTACTTTGGTCAGACAAAACAAAAATTGAGCTTTACGGAAGAAAAATTGCGCACTCATGTATGGAGGAAAAAAGGAGCGGAATACAAGCCAGCAAATACCATCCCTACTGTCAAACATGGGGGTGGAAATATTATGATGTGGGGTTGTTTTTTCTCAAATGGAGTAGGAAAAATGAAAATCATCATCATCGAAGGAACAATGAATGCTGCAAAATACACTCAAATTTTGTCAACTCAACTCTTGAATAGTGCCACATCTTTGGGACATAGTCGTGATTTTGTATTTCAGCAAGACAATGACCCGAAGTATACTGCTAAAACAATTAAGAATTGGTTTAATAATAATGACATTAATGTCCTGGAATGGCCAAGCTAGTCAGCGGATTTAAATCCAATCGAAAATTTGTGAAAACTATTGAAGTTACGAGTTCATAAAAGAAATCCATCGAATTTAAACAAATTGAAGAAAATTTTTGAAGAATAATGGGTCAAAATACCAACAATTACCTGCAAGAAACTAGTTGAAGACTACGGGAAACGACTGGAGGCTGTGAAGCAGAACAGAGGCTAATGTACTAAATATTAGTAAAGTGTGTTAAATAATTTTGCATAAGGGTTATTTTATTTATTGTTAATAAATGTTTCTCAAAACAGTGGTTTTAAATTTTCCTTCTATGTTTTGATCGACAATATTCGTTTAAATATTTCCTATAATTTTCGTTGAAATTGATCTGTTATTTTTTGAGATATGTAAGAAAAAACAATGTGTTAAATACTTTTGCTACACACTGTATATATATGTTTTAAGACATTTTTATGTTCTTTTTATACATACAAATATTTAAGTAAATACTCTGTTTTATAATAAACAGTATTAATAATATTTACCGGCCTGAATGTCCGAGAAATTTTCATACAAAGCATTCGTCATCCGACATGAATCGAACCTGTATACTATACGGAACCGTCATATAGGCAACTTGGTCACAGATGAGCGTTCGGTTAGCAAGGTTGGTTTTACTGTCTTTAAACTACAATCCACCATGATTCTCTCACGTACATTCATATCTGCTCATGGCTTATCCAAATTTAAACAAATGACGTCACACATGATGGAATGGACAAAGTCCGACAATTATTTTAAGACATTTTTATGTGTGTGTGTGTGTATGTGTGTGTGTGTGTGTGTAAGTAGTAATGGTGAAACGTTTGTATTTGAATAAATAAATAATTATTAAACTTTTTTTCAACTAATCCTCTTCACTATATTAAACTTCATTTATGGGAAGAAGAAGAATTGGCCACCATTTCTATTGATCGAGGGCTCAAAATAAAAACATTCGACGTTACCCATGGACACATTTTACATGTCAATACAAAGG